AAAAAAAAAAAAAGAGTGGGGCAAAGGAGACAGAGACAATAAGAGATCAAGCAGAAGATACTCACCAATTATGGATCCAACAGCATCCCACCAGGGCTTCTTCACCTTGATTTGCTCAGTGGGGGCGGTCCTGGAGTCGTTCTTTGGGGAGAACCACCTTTATGTAGTCCAAGTTCCAGGCATCCACAGGGTGGTTGAAGATATTCCCATAACTTGGGATGATGTGTATGAGAAGTCGCTTCCTTTTCCTCGGTTTGCCAGAAAGGGAAATTTTTGGTGCAGATGCATTAACTAGGTTGTGTTAACCTGATCTCACCTCCACTACACTTGAAATTAGCATCTTCCTGTTGTCAATTTCTCCTGCCTGTGCTTATCTCAAATTACTGCTGCAGTGATGTAGCTTACAGCAAGTTCTTTCTGAGGTCCAGTGTTTTGAGACAGTCAGCTGTGGTCTTCAAGTCCTCACACTCACCTGCAGTCACTCACAGCAGCTCTGCAAGCCCCTGGGGTTGCTCTGCATCCCTTTGGGCACTCAGTTTTCCATGGTAGTCCACTCTGGTAAAATCATCTGCTCTGTCCACATTCAGGCCACACATCCCAGATGCACCCTCCCAACAGTGTAAGCAAGAGGCTGCGACTCCAGCACCCGTTAGACTGGACTGAGAACCACATGGCACCCAGTGAGCAGACTGTCAAGATATCTGGAAATAAACTATCTCTATAACAAACTTTTTCCAGTTGTCATTTCGTGGCTAAATCATGGATTGATTCCAAGAAATTCCAGGTCATGGATCTGACTTGAGAGCTTTCCAAGATAGCATAGATGTTTATACAGAAWCAATCAGTGGGACCATGAGTTCAACTAAGGTTAAAAGGTGGAAACACACTTCCTACCAAGACCTACCCAACAAAACCATTATTGTTAGAAACTATGAGCCAGGTGTTGAAAACTGGCCTTGTAAATGTGGTTTTCTGCAGAGTACAAGCACACTGTGCCACCTTTTGGTTTTCTCTTTTGGAGCTTTGGGCTCCAACACGGGGTGCACAAACAGAAGTGAGCAAGAATATCCCCTGTGGCGTGGGGAGGAATCAGAAGAACTTCCAACTACTTTATASCAAAACAGACAAAAATCCCAGCAACACCAAAAGCATTTAAGACAGAAATTAAGCTTTACTAACATTTTAGATACAAACTGACCCCAATGTTTTCACTCACCTCATGTATCAGAGCATCCCAGGTYATGCACAGTGCCAAGGTCTCCTGGGTGAAGAGAAGGTATCCAGAGCAGAGGGCTTCCCTCATCTGCCAACTTTCAGTGTGTTGACACATAATGCAGCGCATATTGCACCCGCTTTAAGTGTATTTACAGGATCTGTGGTCACCTCTTAACTATCCACCCTACCCTACCCTCACAGAGCTTCCTGCAAGGAAACTGAATGTGGAAGACAATTTTGATACTCYGAGCAATCAAGAACATGGCAAAGCTGACAGGTTTCCCATTCACTGTAGGAAACGATTGTACATGTGTTTTGTATTATTTTTAATAATGCACTACACAAAGCTGATGCTTAACTGGGCGGCTGAATTAACAGACACTGAAACTCTGTACTGGTTATTGATACAGACAGCTCCTTTCACCTGCAATGCGTGAATTTCCTAAGATTACGAAAGTTTACCTTGTCTTTTCCAGAAAGGGTAGTTTTCTGTAACTCTTTTATAAAACAGCATAGCACCACCAGCTTTTTGAATACRATTTCCCCATATAAGAAAATAAATATTATAGAAATATATTCATTTGTCCTGCATACAAGAAACTGCTCAAATTTAGGTTTACCTCAGCAAATTTGGTTGTTACATCCAGCTGTGATTTCAGCCCATGCAGGGAGGTTTATCAATCAAATTGCAGTAGTTAATGCATACTTACGTGTGGAGCCAATTTAATCTTGATTTCTCTCTCAATACTGTTGTCAGAGGCATGTGGGGGAGCGATTGCACATGTGCCACTTGCAGGAGGCAGCCAGGAAAAGATAGTCAAAGTCTTGTCTCTGGAGAGACTTTGCCTGGCAGCCATTTCATAGACAAGAGACCACCAAGGACACTGTAAAATCTCTCCCTAATATCCAATCTAAATCTCTCRTGGTATCATTTGAGGCAGTTTACTTTTGTCCTGTYACTTGTTTTTTGGCAGAAGACACAGACCCACACCTGACTACACCCTTGTTTCAGGTAGTTGTATAGAGTGATACCATGTTTTYCAGGCTGAACACCCCCAGCTCCATCAGCCACTCCTTACATTCCTCCACATCCTTCCCCAGCTCTGTTGCCCTTTTTGGGACATGCTCCAGAACCTCAATTTAGGTTTCCTGAATTTAGGGGCCCAGAACTGAACGCAGTACTCGAGGTGTGGCCTCACCAGTGTCTAGAGGGACGATCCGGCTGGGACTATCACTGCTCCTACTGGCCACACCATTTTTGATACACACCATTTTTGATAACAGGCCAAGATGCTTCCTTCTGGCTCATGTTCAGCTACTGTCAACCAGCATCTCCAGGTCTTTTTCTGCTGAGCATCCTTCCAGCCACTCTTGCCCCAGCCTGTAGCTCTGCCTGGGGTTATTGCAAAGGCAGGACTCAGCATTCAGCCTTGAGGTTCATCATTCAATCAATCCTAGCCCACTGATCCAGCTTGCCTAGGTCCCTCTGCAGGACATTTCTACCCTCCAGCAGATGGACATTCCTGCCCCATGTAGGGTCATCTGTAAACTTACTGATGTACTTACTGGTGTACTTACTGCATTCCATGCCCTCATCCAGATCACGGATAAGACCAGCTGGATGTAACTCTGCTCACCTCCAGTCTCTGGGCCCAGGGCCCAGCCATACAGGCAGTTTTTTACCCAGTGAGGATTGCACCAGTCGAAGCCATGAGCAGCCATTTTCTCCAGCAGAATGCTGTGGGAAATGTTGCAAAAGGCTTCCCTAAAGCCCAGGCAGACAATATCCATTCCTTTCCTCACCTCTCATAAGCAGGTCATCTTGTCAAAAAGGAGATCATGTGGGCCCAGCAGGACTTCCCTTTCTTAAATCCATGTTGGCTTGGCCTAATCTGTCCTGCATATGATTGCCATGTGATGGCAATCAAAATGATTTGTTCCATGACCTTTCCCAACACTGAGGTCAGACTGACAGGCCTGCTGGTTCCCAGGATTTTCCTTCCAACACTTCCTGTAGATGGGTATCATGTTTACTTGATGTAAATTTGATTGGGTGTGGCTGGGATGGGTTCTTTTCTCCACAGCAGCCCTCACCTTGCTGTGCTGTGCATCGGTGACTGAACGGACTGTGCTGGTAACACGGTGCTTTGCCTACTGCTGAGCAAAGCAAGATCACCATCTCCAACAAAATTCTGCACCCTCACCACGAGCAGGGTGGGGCTCGGCAAACCTGGGATGGGGACATGRACAGAACTGACCCAAACTGACCAAAGAGATATTCCACACCGTATTAAGTCTGCTCTGATAAAAAACTAAAAGGCCACAATCCGTCCTCCAGAAGTCCAAGGCAACAGTTCTACTGATGCACCTCCTCACTTCTCTGAGAACCAAAACCTTTTTGTAACCTCTGTGCCCAGGACAGCCTCTAACCACCACACCACCCAGCAGTCCTCTGTAYACAAGTCCACTGGGGTGCCTGGACMCAAACACSCTTGAAAGTCAAAAACCTGCTATTCCATAATCTTGGGTAGCATTTCTATTGCAATTTTTTTTTTATAGTGCCAAATATCTTAACAATTTCATAATCAACTGTGACCAAGACAGCCACCAGTCTTCACCCATGAGACCATCTTTAGTTGCAAACAACAGACGTAGGAATGCACCTTTATCAAAAGTTATTTTCTATGTAATTCTGGACATCAACAAGCTTTTGGAGTGCGCCCATGCAAAATTTGTGAAGGACAACATGGACAAGTTCAGCATCCTGTACCTGTCCCCAYGCAACCCCAAGTCTAAGTACAGACTGGTGGATGAAGGGTTTGAGACCATAGGAGGACTTACTGGTGAATGAAAAATTAGACATGACTCAGCAATGTACACTGGCAGCACAGAAAGCCAAATGTATCCTGGGTTCCACCCAAAGCAGCGCAGCCAGCAGGGCAAGGGAGGGAATTCTGCCCCTCTGCTCTGCCCTGCAGTGCTGCATCGAGCTCTGGGATGCGCAGCATAACAAACAATTGTAACCTATTAGAGAAGGTCCAGAGAAGACAACAAAAATGATGAAAGGATGAGCACACCCCTTCTATGAAGAAAGGCTGAGTATTGGGTTGCTCAGCCTGGAAAAGGATGATTCTGACAATACTTTACTGCAGCTTTTCARTATTTGCAGAGTAAAGTAAGGAGGCTTTTTACCAAGGCTTGTGACGCAACAAGAAACTACAGATTAAACTGAAAGAGGGTAGACTTAGATTGAACGTAAGGAMGACGGTTTTTTTCCATAGGTGTGGTGAGACAGTGGAGCAAGTTGCCTGAAGAAGTTGTGGATGCTCCATCCTTGGAAACATTCAAAATCAGGCTGGATGGGGCTTTGAGCAACCTGATCTAGTGAAAGACTTCCCTGCTCACATCAGGAGTGAGGTGGTTATGTTTTGTGTTTGGACCAGATATATTTAGGGGCCTCTTCTAACCCAAAACATATTCTTTTCAGGCATTCCCTAGATCTTTTCAGGTCTTACTCTAGGTGGCACAGACAGCATAGACTTCAATCTGTGGGTGGATTTCAAATGTATACCTTGAGGTCTCCTCACTCCATTGCTGTTATCAGATCTATTAAAGCATGCAACAGTAACACCTGTTACCTAAGCAAACACAACTGCAACTCTAAGTCAAGGCAGAATTACGAGAATCATGCWTTTCTTGCCATTCAAACAGATTAAATTTGTTCACCCCATCCTAAAACATTATTTCATCTAGGACCATAGGAAAGGGGGAGGGGGAAATGCAAATTTTAGAAAACTATCTTTATTTTTTTTTTACATTTAAACAGGGATGTATCTCATTTTCAGACATCCAGCCATTGTTCACTTCATTATTTTAGACAGGAAGAAAAAGTATATAAATGCAAACCATATTGGCATACCTACATTAATGCTGACTGCTTTACTAGAAGAAAACTTTCTTCAGCATTAAAATCAAGCACTTAAAAAAACTGCTGAAAAACAAGTGCCTAGATACTAGTCATTTCAGCAAATAAACAGCTTTTATATATTCAACCATTGTATGTCCATAATATTCACACTTTCTTGTTATGGAATTTGGATCATACAAACACTGTAGAGATCAAAAACCTCAAAGAATAAAACTCATCAGGTGTGTGAGAAATACACATACCACATGTACGAGCAACAAATTTGGTCAAGTACTAAAAAGAAGGACGTGTTTTCACAAGAGAATGGTCAAGTGACCTACTTCTCAGCTCAAACAAAAACAAAGAACTTCATGAGGCTGAAATAATCAATAACATACTATGGTGGAGTGGAAACTTGTGACCTGTTATACAGTGYGTTTTTGTAGGCCAAGTCCAGGTTTTCTAAAACAAAAACTTAAGATCGTGAACAGTAAAAATGACAAAGATCAAAGTATACATATGAGCAAATAATTCAAACAATAAAATACACTTTTGGCTCTTAATGAAAAATAAATTACAAAACACAATTAAAATCCTCATAAATGCAATGATTAATTCAAAGGTGTACCTTTGTTTTAATACACATTTTAAATGCTGCCACAAAACAGACTGAAAATAAATAACTATGCCAAAAGACATTTGTAGATAGAAAAAAGTTGCTAATTAGCTCTAGAAGAATTATAAAAACAACAGAGATAATTTGTGTTTTGGTCAATAGATCTGTCTAGTCACTTTTGTCTTCCACAGCCCTTCTTCAATAACTGGCAGTTAAACGTGCAAAAGCACAACTCTGTCATTATGGCTTTAAAAGAGGAATATGTTTTCTGAAGAAGGAAATATAAAATGGGCTGTCTTGCCTCCAGAACTGTTGGACTGTTCATATTGCAAGCACTTCATTAGACTGTAGAGAAGTACCTGACACATCCTTGCCATCCTACTATAGTGAACTTACACTGCAAGACAAGAAAATTCCAGGAAAAAAACTGCAGAAACTTTTGGATGTTCTAGGCTAGTATGCACAGAAGGAAGAAATCTAGCTCATTTCCACTGCATTTGTTTTCTAAATTAAAGAGCAAATTCACTAATACATTTCTAACTTTACATGGCACATCCATATTTTCAAGTTAAAGATGCTGTCAAGCATCATTACCTTAGTGAATATACAGGTTTTGATACTTATTCCACTTCAACCAGATTCAATACTTGCTTACTCTTTTGAAGGTAATTCAATCTGATTAACATTACCAGAARTACAACTTAAAATTATACAAATGTCTGTATTCTTTGCACAAACACTCATAATTTCTACTTTACTGCAATTTTCATTTTAGGCAAAATAAAAGCAGGTTTTCAAACCAAGAGCATAGTGGAAATACATTCTGTTCATTAGTATCATCAGCATTTGGACAACTGTCAACAGTTTAACAAGCCTCCCCAGAATCTTTAGACAGTGACAATTCAACTACAGTAACAACTTGACTAACAAGTAATACTGAGGCAAAAGAAGAAAAACAATGCAAGTGTAATAAAATAAATCTTAAGATTTTATTATTTTGCAGTATGTGTGGTGTACCTGTATTCTTCTTCTGCATTTTTGAAGACAACTGCTTTAGATACACTGCTACAAACTCAAAAAACTGATTTATGACATCCATCTTCATCTAAGACGCTSTTACTACTTCCAAGGAAAGAAGAAATCCTTCTCAAGTTCAGTTTTCCTCAAGRTAAGGTTCACTTCTATCATTTCGTTGGTCCATATGTTGATGGTCAAAGAAGCACTCCTATTTGACAATACCTTAAAGCTTTCAGAATAGATGAATTAAAGAAACAAAAGATGGATGCAGAAGAACCAAATCAAAGSACAGAGGCATCACATTGTTTCTCAGAGAGTCCTTGGAAAATGTGTTTATTATGGAGGTTTTTGCTTTGGGTTTTGTTGTTGGGTTTTTTTTTAAGATCACAAGACAACAGTTGAACAAATATGCATTTTCCCATGTTCTGTTTGGTTCTAGTCATTTGTTGCGCTGAATGGTTTTCCTTTTCCTCCGCTTGAATAAACAGCAGCACCTGCAAGTATAACATGAATTGCGTATGACATAAAAAGAAACCACAAAACTAAACGTTTTCTTGTGTGTCTCACTTGAAGTATGTAGCGCAGATATAGCCAGCACCACAAGGAATGCCTTAAGCTCTACTGCAGGCAATTGATTTATTAGTCAGAGAAACTGAAGTAGAGATATTTTTAATACATTTCAMCTTATTTTGGAAAAAAAGGTATCAAATTTAAAAAGCTATAACAGAAGTACCTATTAAGTTTAGAGTATTGATGAGAGTATCAAAAACATATGTATTATAGGCTGACTTAAATATGGATTTGCAAGAATAAAAAAGATTCCATTATCTGAATACTTGTTCATACCAACTGGCAATATGCCAAATAGATGCTTGTGCTAAGGCCTGTGTCACYTAAACTGTGACACTTAAGAGACCATTATTGCTAAAACAAGAAAACAATCTGAGCTTGCTTTGTTAACCTGAACTTGGAAAAACTTTCTCCAAGGCTATTTCCCAAGATATTTTAGAAGAAAATGTTCTGATCACAGTGCTGTAATAATACTACTACAGTGAAAAATCACAGCTTAAGTATAAAGAACTCCGATATTCTCTCTTCTGCTTGATTGCATACTACAAGAATTAAGAAACTTAAACTGACAAATGCTGTGAATTTCACTTAGCAAAYGGAAACAATCTGAAAATACCTGAAAGAACACTACAAAATGGAAAAAGAGTTGGAGGGAGTTAGATATAGATAATATACAGGAGGACTGCACAAGTCCAGAATGTACTTTTGAAAATAAACCAGAGAGGAAAGCAACAAATAATACAAAGAAAATTAATTCATTTAAATGTAATATTAGGCTTATTTTAAGCAACTCCCATGTCCTGAACACCACCTTTAAAAATAAAGTTTCACACTAAAGTGTTCACAATGTGTGATCAAAACTGAACATGCAAGCTGTCCACTTTAATACAGCTTATCCCATTCAGTTCTGTGGTTTTGTTATTGAATTCTCACTTGCAATGCTATCCACTGAAGAGTCTTAAACTATGAAGTAAAGTAGTGAAAATACAAATGTACTGCATGAATAGCCTTGATCAATAAATCCTTAAGTTCACCAAGCATTTTATATCACTAAAATTCAAAAGGAATCTAGATGATTTAGTTTGCAATATGGGAAATGGGGAAAGCATTTAAAATCAGGGGGAAAAGGGGTCTAAAAATAAGGTTCTACAGGGGRTGAGAACAACATCCAAAGTAAGGGGAGACAGAAGTTACCTTTCCAAAATATCCAAGGCACCCTGTCGGTCAGTCACTGAAAAAGTAGCACTGGGCAGAGGCAGACCAGAACTGCTCTGAGAGTTACATAACTTTCAGCAGAAGAAAACATTGGTTATTGATGAAGAGGAAGGCCAAAATTAAAATTCAGTAGGGGAAACTACATAGGTGAGTATTTTTACAGCTAGTAGAAGTATCATACTGTATTTACTAAATTTAAAGTACTTCTTAAAGAAGAGACATAATTGGTTTTGAAGGGTAGTAGCCACTGACTAYAACTGAAATCTCCCCATAATCGCTAACCATTTTTTTAGCATCTGCCTATAACCTCATTAACGATCACTTAAGCTTTGAATTTACTTGTAGATGTATGAGCTCCAATTTAGTTTAATTCTTCTTTCACCCCAAGTATATTAGATATATGTATATGTCACATATCAAAGCAAAGAATTTTGCAGTGCTCCTCCCTTTCAACATGAATCATCCATGATCCTGTAGATGAGGAAACCCTCAACTGTGATGCTAAATAACTTTTACTTGTTTGAGATTAGGAAGCTTTAGGGAAAKCCCACTGAAAAATTTTGTCTTGATTTGTACTATAACATATACAGAACCCATATGTTATATAAGTAACTGTAGGAAGATGGAAATGCAGCAGACTGAAAAGCAGAAACTTATATTCTAGAAGAGCAATCTAGAATTTTAACTCTTTACTCTTTAAATAAGTTTTGATTATATGGAGCACAACCCAAGTAGATTAGACTTACTAAATGTTTAGGACTACTTGAATCCTCTTTGCAACTCTTTAGGTTTTCTTGCTTTCCTTATGAGAAAATTTTAACTCATCGTTGCTGCAAACCTGATACTGTCCTGCAGAAATCTTCTACATAACCTACTGAGTTTGCTACTTCTCTGTCAACCAGAGAAAAATTCACATGCAATGGTGAATTCAAGTGTTCTATTTTTAACCAACATTAATCACTGCTTTTCWAATCCTCTAGTCTTCTGGAGTTTGCATAATACTACTACAATGAGTATAATTTCTATTAATAGYTGTTTTCTTTGTTTTTTATTTAAACATAAAAATATTATTCAACTGTATTTCAAATCAGGGAAAATCACTAAATGCTGAAAACCTGTATTTGGTGTGGGAAAACAAATCCCTTATTAATATATTAATATCTAAAAAGTACTGAAATGCAAATTCCATGATGAATTATAAACCACTGGACTGTGTTGGAAATTTGAACTGAAGCACTGAACTGAAACACTGTGTATTTTTTAAGCCTAGAAGTGCTAGACTTATGAAATCTTTCAAGGCCAAGTAAATGTAATTTTAAAATGTATCAAACTGATATATCAGCAGATCAGACTGCATYGCCTAACAAATTTTATGAAAGAAACCTAACCCAGAATTAGAGATCCATAATGCATGAACTCTCAGCGACTATAAACCATAACAGAAATGCAGTCTTGTTCTTAAGAATACTGTCACTAGAGGGTGATATTGTCACTTACATACAATATAGATATTACATTGCTTGGAGCCGTATTTATAGCTATAGATGTGTGCATTATTAAGAACTATTAAACCACAAATTTRCTATGCTATTCAATATATACTATGCATTCAAAGTACAGAAGGATAGGTAAGGTTTAAAAATTTCTAATTCTGGGAAAAGATGTTTTTATTTAAATAAAGCATTTAATAACTGCCAACCTTCATCTGTAGTTTAAGTAGCATTTCTGGAGCAGGCAGTATAATAGCAATCTATAAAACTCAAAAAACACTGCACTTTTCCTGTACAATCTAACGTGATCTTTGAGATATTATCTAAGGTAGCAATCTCAGAATTTTAGCTTCCAACACTTCTTGTCCTTCTTAAAACATTATCATACCTTTTTTCCTGTTACATACACCTCTCTCTACCATTTGAGCAGTCCCTTGGGCCAACAYGCTAAAGCAATGTAATCTGTCATTTGTGTTTAGTTGTTTTAGTATTTGTCATCAAGCATGTGGAAGGCACTTTACTGCAGGATTAGTAGCAAGTAAAGTGGCAAAAAAGATGCAAGATGCAAAAAGGACAGATTATACAATCATTTCCTGTTTGCCCTTCTCTGCCTTCCCACAGGACAGCCTTTTGGTTATCCAAATCACACACGTTTTAGAAACAACGGATGGAATAGGAAACAGTAAAGACAGGTTAATTGCTCAGCGATAAATGAAAGACCATCTGTAGAATAATACAGATAGATCTGTAGATCCCCAAGTGTCAGGGCAGCATGTGATAGGGTCAGTTTCCTCCTTGCTTTACAACTTCAGTAACAACTGAAATAGGGCAAAAAGCTACTTTTCTAAAAACCAAACCAACAAAAATAACCAYCAACCCCCTCATCCCCCAACACTCACATACAAAATAAAACCACCATAATGCCCAAAACACAACAYCCACTGCTAAGCCATGCTAGCTGTACAGCCACCATGAAAATGACATGGTGTAAGATTTAGCGTATCTACTGCATGTGAGTCCATAARTGTTTACCGAACAATAAAATGTTTCATTAAATATTGGTTGAATGTCCCAAACCAATAAAATTCTTACTGAAAAAAAAATGCTTTCTGATTTACAGCATTTCACCAAAATGGTAGCTGAAGCTCTAACATCCAGTTAATTGCACTTCTGTAAATAGTTGAAACTGTACATAGTGGAGGCAATCCCACATGAGGGGCACCCACTTTTAAACCTTTTAAAATATAGTCATGTTAAGTTTCCAAACTTAAGAAAACACATAGAACAAAGAATGAAGTGTTTCTAAAAAACATTCAAGTTTACTGCCTCAGAGTATGAGGAWATGTTAGAAGATATGAGCAGGTGAAGTTAGCTTTATTCATACTTTGAGGTGAAGAAAAGATTGTGAAAGAGGCGAAAAGTGAGAGTCTTTTGAGAAAACAATGTTCCCTTAAAACCAAAAATATCCATGTCATAGACATGAAGGATACTAGTAATCACATTCTGTACTATTCCACAATGTAAAATCAATAAATAAATCTTTGAATGTCTCACAACCCCTTTTGATATTAAGCTCCTAATTATCATGTTAAAATGTAAAATTACYTAAATCTTCTAAAGTGCTGTTTCTGAAAAAATATGTGTACCTTTGCATTGATGTTTAATAGTAAAACCGGGGAGGATGTTTGTGTGAGTGGGCATGCATGTATGTTAATTACTGCCAAAACATAAAACAACTTCTATGTCCCCAAAAAATGTACAGTGATTGAAGAAATTGAGCTTAAACAGACAGTGCTAAAACACTAATTTGAGTGCTTCGTACTCAAAAAAAAGAAAATTGATCTAAAGAGTAGGTCCCTGAGACTAATTATTTTGTCTGTTACAAAACCAGTTAAGACTAGGCTAAAAAGGTCAAGGATAGCATATTTGTCCATTATCTATTCATCAAAAAAAGCAAACTTCTAAAGCAGTGAGCATCTTGGCTCCTAAGAATTCTCTTAATTTTTTGCAGATAACCAAGTAAAGTAGGTAACTAAAGATAGGTTTAAATGGGCTAAGCACTACTCAAATTGCAAGAAATTTTATCTTTTTTTCTATATGTACATGGGCTAAGCATATGGGAGGTTATCACTTTGCTTATTTGATGAGAGGGGAGAGGGAATTTATTTATGAGCAGCCTATCAGTATCCTTGCTCTTTGGGCTTTATTTTTGTTTCAAATATATATATACGAAACCTGTATTCTGGACAGAAAATAATACAGTACTCTACAAAGAAGGCAGCTGTCTAGCCAGTGCAAAAATGTGGCACAACAGACACCTCCACTGAAAATTAATTACACATGCAAATTAATCTTACCTACCAAAACCAGAACCTGCAGAACAATCACTTCAAGAAAAAATTGCACTTTGAGAAGTTTCTCTTTTCCTAAAAGTTAGGAAAATGGGTCCTAGAAAACTTGTTGCTATTAAAGGAAGGCCTACTGGATTGTTCGGCTACTAAGGAATCTTTCAAACTTGAGTGCCTCTATTTTATGATAAACTAGGTACATACCCCTGCAAAATCTTATTTCAAGCACAATTATAAAACAAAGCATGTTGGAATTCATACCGCCTTTAGCTATTAAGAATATTTTTCTGTACTATTTTGCAAGTCTACTACTCAAATATATAAACACTAGTTGTCCATCCCATGTTAACAGACCTTAATATTTTTTCTTTTCATTACACTGTAACATTAAGGAATCCTGAAGTTATTTTTTAGTAATTAGTTAGAAAGTTGTCAAAGACTAAAACTCTGGTAAATAGTTTGTTTACAGAGATATCTGGAAAAGTTCAAATATTTGCTAGCATTTACTACTTATTCATGTGAGTTATTTTCTAGGTGTTAATACACTAGCTGAATGCTACAGTATTTGAAAAGAATGTTTTCCCTTTCAAACAGAATAGAATGCAATGAAAAATATTCCAGTATCAATTAAAAAGGTTGACATAAAGTACATCACAGACTACATAATTTAAAAGYAAGCAGGATTTGAAGCAAGCAGAATAGCCCCTGAAGGTGGCTTTTTGTAAAAAGTTAATTGTTTCATTGAATTAAAATGGATTTTGTCATTTCCAAACAGATATTTTACTTTTAAATTCTCTGAAATTAGTTTTAAACCCAATAAAAAGAACAAAGCTCCTGGGGCTATTTCTGCCTGCCTTTGCTGTATAACTCACCACATGTTCAACACTTTCTGGCAGCTATACAGAAAGAGAGTAAGGGAAAAAAGAGAATCAGAATACCATATAGAGGAAGAATTTTACATCTTTCACACACAGCTTTTGGTAGTCAGAACACTATTTAAAAATAAATATGTCAAAATGAGTCGAAATATCAAAAATGCATGCACTTCTCTAGCCAGCATAGCAAGACATGTCACTGAAGGCTGAGCCGAAAAAAGTACAAACTATAGGAAATCTACTATTTAAAAATTTAAAGATAAAATTAAGTATAGCACTTCAGTTTTTCCCCTCACCAACARCTATTCAATTCAAACAATATTTTTTTTAAACTATATGAGAAAAATATTGAAGCAGCCAAGCACAAAGTATTTAAAGAACATAAAAAGAAGGACATACTTTGTTTCATCCATTACTTCTACTTCTGCAGGAGCTGTGATGGGTGCATTTGAACGGCCTGCAGTTGGGTCATCTGTGTTCAATTCTCCATTTGTTGAGCTTACTACCTGAAATCACAACCAAAACCTGAAATTATGCTAGTGCCAGACACACATTTGTTAGTTCCTAAGGTTACAACACATCTTAAAAAAGAGTAATTTTTATTTTTTCTATAGTTACTTTAATTCCAGTAACAGTATTTTTCCAGTAACAGGTTTTATTATGGCATCCCTGTGCCTTGTGACACCTACATGACAGACTCAAGGTGAGAGGAACGAACAAAGCACAGCAATTCTGTGGATCAGGTTTGCTTATCTTCCCCACATCTCTTCAGAGCCTTAAGGGAAGACATTAAGCACTCTTCTGATACCAATTCAGTTGGTCTAAAGCTCTCTTTCCTCCTTCAGTGAATTTATGCTCCTTAGTTTCACGCTTTCTATTCAGAGTGAATATGAAGGCCTGATTTCGTTGTATCTCAAAGAGTACTCATCAGAAAAGCAGAAAACTAAGACAATTTTCTAGACCTAGGAGAATAGATGGTGTCTGATTTTTAGAACAGAAAAACACCTACTGCCAATAATTAGATTTATCTTCTATTCCTATTAGTTTATTCTCAAATTCCTATATAAATTGTTCAAGTCATCATGAAAGCTGTGGTTCTCTGGGAATGTTTGTTTTGACTTTAAACTAAGTGGAACCCCATATTGTCTCTCTCGGATCCTGTCAGCTTTCCTGCATGACAAATGGAGCCGTTCCAGAGGCCCCTCCCTTATTMACCCCACAGAATCTGACAGAAGATGATTAACTGGCTGTAGACAAGTGCCTATCTGACCAGAGCTGCTGACAGTGCTAATTGACCCATTAAAGGACTGACTCACCCTGTTGAGAACTCTACTAGCTACTAAGTAGCAGCAAGTGCTCCGCAAGGCAGCAAGCACAAAAATATTCTGGACAAACAATACAAAAAAGAATTTGCAGAAAACATCTGTAAAAAATTAATCAACCAAAGAGACCAACTGTAGTCTGTAATTGAAGATTTTTACCAGCTGCTGTCTGATGGTCAGAGATTAAGGTAGATGAAAGGAAAGGGAAGGAAAGTCATCACCATAACACTATTTGCCTCACTCTTCCAAGCTCTCCTCTTATACAGCAGTTATGTCTGATCTATTTATAACCAGAGCTAAAAGCCTAGCYTCCTGAGGTTTGTTTTGTAGTTCTTATTGCAACAAAGTACAGAGCTTCAGAAGTTTGCTGCACTTAAGGCGTTTCCCATGCCATAGGCCCACAGCAGGCTGAGTTTCCTTATTTTTCAAATTCCACTAAAATAGGAACCACTGCCAAAAAAACCCTGCAGGCTTGTAAGAAAACAAAAGATGCCTGAGATACTAGGAATCTAACTACTTAAATTTTAGTCAATATAACTGAAGGAATTATGGAGATTGGACTTTATTCCTGCAATGATAAGTGGTTCCAACAAGGCGGCTTAAGCTTAGTTTCTTATCACTGGGCATAATAGAAACACTTCACATTCAGTAAAATAAGCAGGAACTGTACTTTAACAAATATTACAACAGTAGGGCAGACATCCTGAATCAAACATCCCAGGTTAGTGTTTATAGAATTTTACAGAATAACAGAATACTCTGAGCCATCATCGTCCATATTTACTGCGAGGGGTTATAATATGATCCCAACCACCTCACCAGGTGTCTTACTGTGAAGATCATTTCACAGCTGCTTGTGAAATACCTAGCTGTAAAAGTGATAAGCAGAACGGAAAAGTGCATCAGAGGCATTTGCTGAATAAGACATGAACAGTCATAAAAATGTAAAGGGAAAAAATTTTGCTCAACTTGCTCACCGAATGAGTTTGGTTCCAAAGGAAGCATAGAAGCATGGAGTAGCTTCTATGGAATGGCAAATGGAAGGGACCACTGGTGGGGCCATGTTTACAAGCAACTTCCTGTCCATAACTGTAACTAATCACAACTACAGCCTATGCTAATCCTTATACAAGAACCCACCCAATTAATATTGTAGTCAATCCTGCCTGCAGTCCTAATAAAGGATTTCTGCGCCATAATCCAGACCTAAAAAGAACTTTTTAGAAAAGACCCTCAGACCCATGCTCAATATTGAGTAACAGAGGTTGATGAGAAACAGAAGCCTTTGTCCTCAATTTATATAGTAAGAGTAGATAGAGTACACCAAGAAATAACAGGTATATGACAGGTATATGTCCCTTTCTGGATGGGAAGCAAACACAAGACAACTCAGTATTTCTGACTGCTGTAAAGAACAGGTCACAGTTTTCAGCGGCATTTGCAAGAACTCCTATTTTTTTCGCTTTTCCTAAAAACAAAAGAAAAAATGTATGACTGACACAACTATCAAACACACTGCCCAACTGCAGCATCTGCAGAGCTTTCATATGACATTAACCTTCACAGTTCTTTCCCGGAGCACCTGTTCAATGATTGACAACTATCTTMTTGTTAGTTGAATGTTCTGACACCACATTCAAAAACGAAGATCAAGCTCACTATGTACATCTTCATTTGAATTGAAAAATATGAAAGTAAGTATCTAAAAGTCCTTCCTACATTAATGACATTGTATTATGTATGTGTTGTATAATCTTACAAGACTTCATCTTTAAAGAAGCCAAAATCATCTTCTGCTGGGGTCAATGCACTACTATCTGGTAACAAAGAACAAAGCTTACTGCAGCTTATTCTACAAATTACTTCAAACTTACTGTGGTTTTTTAGAGAGTGGTTTCAATTAGCTGGAGAAATCTCTTTTCAAGACAGCTTTTGTCCTAAACAGTTTATTAGTTTGACTGTTAAAAGAGAATTTGAAGCACTTTGTTGAAAACTTCACACCAGAAAGCAAAAGCTTGTCCTGCCTTGCTCTGGTCAATAATAGATAATCTCTGTCTCTTAGATGGATAGCAAGGAGAAAGATACCATAGTCCTTCCCACACACACAGACACCCACACACATCCACCAAATACACAAATACTATTAAGTGTAACTGTCTGTTGCATGACTTACTTTAGATGGGAGGAACATGAAGTTATTTTTCCTAGAAAGAGTTATGACCACTGAAAGTGTAAGTGAACCAAAGGGTACACAGTATAAATTGAAAAAACAGCATCAGTCCTGCTTCTCCAGAATCACCAATGCCCTGAGTTTCACTCCAATCTACTACTGCTGAAAGCAGCTCTAGGAGCTCTTCACTAAGACAGAGACAAGAACTAATTCACCTACAACAGTGACAAGTACTTACTGTTAAAGAAAAACTAACAAAGGCTCATACAAAGGAATACAAGAGACAGGAGGAATGCTTGCTTCAATTCCAGTCAGTAAGGCTACAGCTGTATGAATTTAATTCCGTACAACACCAGTAAAGTACTTGGCAATCTGACCTAAAAGAGCCTTTAACAAAAGACTGATAATGCAGTGTTAACACTTGTACACTCTTGATTCTGGAGTAGTGGGGTCTAAGTTAGACCAACTATTACACTTTTCTTTCCAAGTACATGGCAACCAGCTAAAAAATCGACACAAGGAAGGCAGGAAGATAAGGGAATATAGTAGAATTGAGCAAGAATAAGTCACCTAGAAGGCAGCATATGCAGGGAAGAAGTGTTACACCAAATTCTGTAGCCAGAATGTATCACAAATAAGGCACAATGAAGATTTTATCACAGTAGATCCACATGAAAAGCTAAAACTTTGAGAGAAAGAAACAGTGATATATAAAACTAAGAATATTCTAAGAGAAACTTAATTTCTCCACTTGTGATTCAAGTTGGAATCATTTCCCTGATGAAATCAATAGCCTGATGAAAATGGGAGACACAATTCATCTCTTAAAAGACTTGAATACAAGTATAGTGAAAAAATCAGGATATTGAAGTTAAGTTTTGCACTTTAAAATTCTGTTAACTAAATGCAGATGAACAATTTTCCCTGAATAGTCACAGAATTACATTTCAGAAAAACAAAAGTTTTAAAAGTTTCAAATTAGAAATATCACAATAGTCAAGAGACTAACTTAAGATACTCACCTATTTTCAAGTGGGAGAATAATCACTAAAATGAAAACCCAAAACTACTTAAAACATTTTTAATAATAATGTTGCCCCGGTTTAAATTTAGCTCCTTTAAATTTAATTTGTTCTTTAAAGGAACATCTATGTAAAGAAGCATATGCATCACATTGGCTGTTTCTTGCTACCCCCTATGCCATAAGGTAAAGAAACAAAAATTACACCCACTACCCATCAATGAAAACGTAATTGTGAAACTGATTTCTTAGATACATGGTCCACTGGAAGCTTGATAAGGGCCATTTATAACAAGACAAAGTTAAGCCTGAATAGCAATTCCCTAAATGGCAACAGTAAATCTTCAGGCTCCATACTTTGTTCTGCATTAGTATGTAAACTAATCTTTAACTTGCAATGCTCAAAAAAAATTTTGCTGATTTTTATTACRATAATCCCATTACAGAATTGCAAAAATTCCCCCAATCATTCCATTAAGAATCTCAGTAACTGAATTCTCCACTCAAAAAATAAAGCCAGTCTACATATCTGAGCAATTCATTAGTGACACTACACAATTCTTTATTTTACCTTCAAAAAGTTTTCAGTTAAGACAAAAAAAGAAAATTAATCACAATACCTTTTTAGTCTACAAAAGCTTAGGAAAACTGATTTGTTTAATCTAACTCTTGACAATCACTATGTTGACTTCTTGAAGAAGAGGAATCTTGCGACTTGGAACTACTTACATCAAATAAGATGTAATACTTACATCAAATAAAAACCTTTCAAGAAGTTCCTAAGTAGTTTACTCAGAACTCTTTAATGCAATCTTTCTATCTAACCTCCTTTTAAAGAATTTCCCAATGGGAAAACAAAAAGAAAAAAGTTAAGAGGAGAGAGATCAGTTAGTAAATGATGGAAAAAAAAAGTAATGGAACAGATTAATAGTCTTTATGAGTGCAAAACAAGATTGCAGCTCATGCAGAGAAGGAATAATTCAGGGTGGTACAACTGACATTTTGAGAACTGAGGTGAACTTTTAAAAACAAAAGCACAAAAGAAGTTGTTGAATGAATTGCTGGGAAGTATTAGTTGATCATTAGTAACTCTACACAAATTTGAAAGATGGACTGAGGTAAATGGAAGAAGGGATGTCTTCCTTTTAAGACTCAATTTCCTAGTATTATTTGAACTCTAGCTGATGCTACCAAGTAAAATTAGACATGTCTAAGCACATTAGGATCTTTTGAACAAAAGCCTACGATCTGGGATAAATTAAATTAATACCACAACCAGAACAATATATGTTAATGAGCAAATCAGTTTGAACCTCTGTAGTTCTCACTTGTACTTATCATCACTAAGAGCATACAAATGTATRGCAACAAACATATACACGAACATTCAGTCCAGTTGACGTTCATATGTCCTAGAAAATAATCACTAGCACATTTTAGTAATCTCTTAAAAAAGAATCTCAGAGATGACATCAGCAGTAGTACTGAAGACAACTAATAGCAGTGACCTAAAAATCATTCTACTAACATTTAAAAATAATCTGACAGATTTTTGTGTCTTGCAGAAAAATTGATAAAACTGATCTTAAAGATGAGCTTATTAACCTTAAAGAAAAAAGAAATACACTTTCATTTCACACTGCAGATTCAACTTTTCCTTTGAGCAATTTTCTGTGGGAAAATTTTTAGAACTTGTCACCTTGAAAGCAATTAGGAATCCAACTAAAGTAGCTAGCTAATGAACCAGTTTAAAAAATGGGATGATTCAGTTAGTATTCTTGCAACAAGGGGCTATTTGACTGCACAACTGAAGATATTATGTGATTCTAAAAGTGCCCTTAATCAGGACACATGACCACTCCACAACAAAAGGCAACTCAATATGAAAACACCCTGCTGTACAACACGTGACATAGACCACGGCTGCAGTTCTGCACAGTGCTTTATTCACGTGGGAATTGCTTAGCCTCAACTGATCTAAATCATCTGAATGCAGACTGCCTGYATCCTTTGAGGAAAAAGAAACAACACTATATTAACAGTAAGGAATACTAGTGTTGTGCTATTTCCATCCCCAAAAGGTATTTAGCATATTTTACAGTGGAAGGCAATTTCTTGACACTTTGAAAGTTATAGTAACTGTAATTTAACAAAYTCAATGTATTTTTCTAATCTAAAAAATTGAAAAAGAAATTTTGAAAGATACTTCAAATCCATTTTTGATTCCATATGACTCTGCTGTTCCCAAAAGATAAATGATTACCTATATTACACAAAGAAATGTTGTAATTCAAGTTAAATATATAAAGTTTTTTAAACATTTGTTAATGGGAAGCACAAAACAACTTTTAAACTTTCCTTGACACACAGTAATAATTATTATCTACTAGATTTTGTTACGTGACACATGACCACTGCTTCTAAAGCAACAAAATTTAAAGAATGTTAACACACTGACAGGACTGCAGCACTGGTTTCTGTACCCTCAACTTTTCATTCTTTCTTCAGGTCTTGACAACATTTTTCCAAACAAAAACTTCAGAAGAAACATATACAACTTAAGATTGCCATAACCAAAAATGCAGTGAACAGTTTCCACACACACCCCATGCCCCGATAAGACTTCACAATGAAACATTTTATTTGGACTCATAGTTCAAAATCTCATTAGACTTTGCATTGGTATTTTGAGTCTTTCAGTATTAATTCCTTATGTGTTACTCCAACTACTTCACACCTAAATATATTCAAAGAGAGGGACACCAAAAATTTCGAAAATTGATTTTAAAAATAGAAAACAAACCAGAAAAAAAGTTYTTTGAAGAAAGATGAAATAAATAATAAAGGAAAAACTATTCATTTCTACTCATTTTTTCACTGATATATGTGAGGTTCCTGGGAACATTCTTCTAGTCAATTATTACTTGAATTAAAAGGAGTWAAGTTTAAGCAAACAACTAAATACCATTTTAACTTGAATCTTTCTTAAGTAACAAAACGTAACAAATTCGGTGTGGTCACCTGGACCACACCGAATTCAGTAAATAGTGGTTTTTAGTTTCCAATTCAACTAACACATTAAAAGTCAAAATTCCAGTCACTTGCACTATGTAAGTACATATTCAGCAGAAAAGACAGTCAACTGTTTTAAGACTTATACTAAGAAGCATGCAAGAAAAGTTCCAAACAAAAAGTTCCATAGTTTCAGCACCTGTTTTAATTTCGGTTTGAAAACTGTGAAGAAATAATAACAGCATTCTGAACATTASTGGAAATCAATCTTACTATGAAAACATGAATCAAGTGATACATTACAGGAAAGTAGTATTATGCAATGTGAAATGACTGCTTTAAGTCAAGAAAAGAAGCAGAAAATACCTGTACTGAGCCACCAAGTCTGTCAGATGCCAGGTGAGCTCTCAAATGATGTGTACTGGTTTGCTGTGAGTCCCAAGCTGCCCTATGGTCTGTTGACTATTATTTTTGAATGTATTAGGATTTATGCAAAAGAAGAAAAAAACAAAGAAAATAAAAATTTTTTGCATTAATTATTATATACTAGTTTTTAAAAGCACAGAAGCACTACACACTCAACACCCATATAGACTGCACTTCCACATTATCAACATACTTACACATGCCTTCACATACATTTTCATAGAGAGAAGTAGCTAAATGTCAAAATTCTTACGCAGAAAAAGCACACTAACAAAATGCTGCTATTTTGCTTAGGCATATGGGCACAGCTCTGAATTCTTAACATTTTTACTACCTTAGTTATTAGCCTGGTTTAAAAAAAAAGTTCAAATGTTATACACATGTTTGTTAGAACTCAAAGAGAGGATACAGTGTATGGAGAAGAGACAATGAGWAAAGAAGTGTGAGTAGGGAGAAAATTCACTCCTGATTCACTACGCTGCATCATAGATTGAAACAAGCAAGCTTTTAGGAGATATTTATGTATTTTTACTGTAAAGTCTACTAGTAGACGTTAACAAAGATCTACTTAAAGCAAAAACAAAGAAAACCTACAGTCAATTTTATTTTCAAGTTCTAATAAAAACATTGCACAAATCATTAGACAAAAGACATAGTAATGTTGATAGTCTCACTCGAGCAGTTTACCTGGTTTTTGGATTGTTGCACTCGATCTCTGTGCTGATACGCTTCTCTGTTTGAAGACATTGCAGGATCTGAATGTACTGAACCCACTGGAGTAGGCTACAAATATAAATAATATGTAGCAACTGGTAAAAAAAATAAATTTCTAAGTCTCACCATAAATTACTGATTTGTAAAAGAAAATAATCTTTAAATCTGATGGYTTCATATATCACAAAATTATCACATTAAAGCAGAAGCCTCACTAGATATTTACTAATTTCAATGAGAAAAAACAGCAAACCAAGACTTACAGAATTTAATGACATAGCAATTCTAATTATTATTCATTAATTTTCTGAAGACTTCAGGCTGATACTTTCTGCGGTTAGAAGTTAGGATATTCTGATGAAATCTGATGAAAGGCCTAAAGTAATTTTTAATGCCAAACAYTGAAAAAAGTATTTACTGGGGAAAAAAAAAAACCATGCAATAATGACAATCACCTGCAAAAYTTTACAGTCCTTCAACTCAAAAAACAATCTGAATTCTACAACCTCATTTCAAATTGAGCAGAGATTACTTTGATGTTTTGAGTACATCAGGAAAGAGACTGAATAACAATCAAGTGGAAAGAAAATGTTAGAACATGCATCTGCAGATGGGCTTGTCATAGGAGCTGTTCACAGCCCTTACAACAGCCTTAAAGTGCACATATCTTCTTAAAGTCAAAACTGATCACAGAAAAATCCATTAMATTACTAACAGCTGAACAGTACTCACCAACTGTTTGCCAATCCAGTCGTATTCATAATCAAACATATAGCCTTTCCGATCAAGCAAGTCTGTGAAGATCTTTCTTAAGTAGTCATAGTCTGGCTTTTCAAAAAAATCTAACCTTCTCACATAACGTAGGTAAGTAGCCATTTCCTCTATATAAATAGAAAATATACATATTTGCCCTTACCTATTTTAATGGAACTCAAAAAAAAACCCCACCACCTTTCATTTTAAAGCAACTTCTACCTCTCCCATTAAAGCAGAACAGTTCYTCACCATGAATCTGTGAATTACCTCTGAAAGAGAAGTTACTTAACCATAATAATGTTCTTTGAGATGTTATCATATTCTGAGATATACTACCACATTCCAAACACACCAAGTGACACACAACTAATTTTTTCTTCCCATCACCTGTTGGGATCTTCTATTCAATGTTGCACAGTGAGCAGAAAAGTGGGGAGAAAATGCCTCTACTTTCTTCTTTCTTTCCAATCAATTTACAGAGACAAGACTAATGAAAGGTAAAGAAAGGCGTATACAACATAAAGCCTACTGTGGACAGAATGTCCTTTCATTAGGGGAAATAAAATTAGTTTGTCATGAGCTACTCTCAGCAAATCCATTTTGCCAAATCTAAAACATCATTATCAATGATATTTTGGTTACCTTTAAAGGTGTTCACTTATGTTTTGGCAAAACCATGTCCATGTCATACATGTCCCCTGTTCCAAGGACTTTAACACAACCTTTCTAAAAGTTGTGTTTGCTTCAGTCCTATTATCCAACACCTCATTGATCCTCCTTGCACTTACAGACAACTAGAAGTGGCACCTGAAACTTTCAAGTTATTTCAAATTTTAGTTCAATCTGTTTCTAATGCAGCTTGTTTTTAACAGGGGCATGATACCAGATTTGAGCTGAAAAGGTTTGCAAAAACTTATATATGAAGATACAAGTGCAGACTAATTGAACAAGGTAAGCATACATATAGTATTTTTTTCATGTATACTTTAGAAGAATCTATACTGAAGAACAACAGCATTAGCTTACTGCTGCATCAAAGGATAATTCTTCCATCTGGGCCAAGTATTATTTAACTGATCCATCAATGACTCKGGTGAAGGGCAGAGGCCTCCTCAGCAATTTCACTGACAGCACAAAGCTGGGAGCAGTGGCCGATAGCCCAGAGGGCTGTGCAGCCCTTCAGAAGGACCTGGACGGGCTGGAGAGATGGGCAGAGAGGAACCTCCTGAAACTGAGCAAAGGCAAATGCAGGGTCCTGCACCTGGGAAAGAATAACCCTGTGCAGCACCACAGACTGGGGGCCAACCTGCTGGAAACCAGCTTTGCAGAGGAAGACCTGGGTGTTCTGGTGGACAACCTCTTCATGAGCCAGCAACATGCCCTGGGATCCAAGAAKGCCAATGGAATTCTGGGGTGCGTTATGAAGAGCAGGTGGAGGGAGCTGATCACATCCCTCTACTCAGTGGCTGTCCCCATGGTGGACAAGAGAGACATGGAGCTCCTGTAGTGGGTCCAGCAAAGAGCTACTAAGTTGGTCAAGGGACTGAATCATCTCTCTTAYGAGGAAASGCTGTGGCATCTGGGCTTGTACAGCCTCAAAAAGAGGTGACTGAGAAGGGACCTGATTAATATGTATAAAAATCTAAAGGGTTGTTGTCAACAGGATGGAGCCAGGCTCTTCTTGGTGCCCAGCAATGGGATAAGAGGCAAGGGCAGGCACTGATGGACAGAAGTTCCATCTGAACACGAGAAAGAACTCCTTTCGTGTGCAGGTGACTGAGTCCTGGAAARATTGCCCAGAGATGCTGTGGAATCTCCTTCACTGTAAATATTCAAGAAGCACCTGAACACAATCCTGTGCCATGTGCTCTGGRATGGCCTTCCTTGAGCAGGGAGGTTAGACCGTATCACCCACTTCTAAGCGGACACATTCTGTGATTCTGTGACCTGTTACACATATTGTAGTTCTACAGCCAGACATTAAGCAATTACCTAAACCAGTTTCATTTTATAAATTAATACACAACATTTTTATTAACAGCAGACATTACCTGGGAAGTTTTCGCACAACACCTCTACAGGAGTTGCTCGTTTAGTGTCTCCAATTTTTTGGTAACGTTCTTTTAATGTATCAGCCTATGATGCAAGACAAACAAGTTATACAGTTTGCAGGCACACATTCAAAAAAACCCCAAACATGTCAATAAAAGCTGATGATCTGAAAATAGGACAGAGAAAGATAGCAAAATCCACTACCTTTAAACCTTGCCATGGAAGACTTCCTCTGAGAAAATACATAAACATATGGCCCAAGGCTTCCAAATCATCTCTTCTACTTTGCTCTGAAACAAGATGCAAATATTATCAGAAACTTCAATTTTACACTATATTTAAAAAAGTAGCCTCCAAATTACATAAAAATAATTGCTAGGCATACAGTACTTGAAATCAAGCTGAACATGTAGGGGAGTTCTTGTGTRTTTTGGACTGCCTTAAGAACACAGAAAAAAAGCAGAGACAGACTGCTTCAAACAGCACTTCAAGCAAATCATATTGCTGCAAAAAAATTGTTCTTATTCTAAAATACTTTCAACAGTTAAAACTGCATTTACTTCCAACATTTTTAATCTATTATTTGTGAACTTGAAATAATTTACCAAAGCTTCAAGAGAATTATTTTTTTCTCTATAAAATCATGGAGAAGATGGTGTTTTCTTCAGGGATGTATTATGGATTTCTGAGTAAGCCAAAGGCAGATTGAAGAAGGCTCAGAAGCACTATTGTTTGAACAAAAAAGCAGAATGCACATACAGCCTGCTATCAAGTCTAGCTGACGYGAGCTTTCACAGAACAAGTCTAGCTGACATATGAACTTTCACAGAACACAGTGCCTGGCAAAGCTACAGTTTTTCATCTGCAGTAAAGAAGTGGCAGTCCTTCAAAAAGTTCACAAAAGRTTAAAGAAAAGTAACAAGTAAACACATGGTATCTGAAGTTCTCAAAGTACATTTCACATAGTTTTTTAATTAAATCCACCATTCTTGGGAAAACTGAAGGCAATAGAGAATAGTAAGTCTTTGAACTCACTATTTTTTACTAGCAGAAAATAGATTTTTACATTTCCACGTGACTTCATTCTGTATTGCTGTTGAAATAAACACTATACATTTTACTATTTATTGTACTAACACACAGTATTTAATTCTAAATTTTACTTTCTCCCTGACTCAAGAAAGATAAACAAAATATTAACGGTATGTCACAAAACAAAATCACTATACTTTGGCAACAAGAGAAATGGAGCAGGAAGGTAAATGAAAAAAATGTTTGATTTTTTTTAACCCAGTAAAGTCAACAAAGCCAACCTGGCTCTGATCTGATCAACACATAATATTGTCATAAATATATAGCATCTGAAGAACAATCTTTAATTTTCACATAAATGTACTTACTACTATTTTGAACAATGTACTTACTACTATTTTCTACCCTTATCTTCTCATTTGAACACTTAGTAAACATGTATTAGGAAATGAGTATGAAAATACCAAAAAAAAAGGATGGTAAATCAGGGCACAGGCTACATTTAGCCCCTCACTTCATCAGACATCTGCCAGACATATAAGGCTCTTTCAGTCATTTCTCCTTCACTCATTTCCATGTTTTTAATTCCCTTGCCAAAACTTCTCTTGCTTGTGTTCACTTCTCCATTCTCACTGTCCTCTGTTCCACTTTTCCCAGGGAGGGCCCTCCAAACAATTTGGTTGTATTTCAATTACTCTGCCAACCCTACAACATCCCCCTTGMAGACCATACTCTATTCTGACACGACCCCATAGGTTAAGAAGAAAGCAGGAGTAAGGTGCAGAGTTCTATGCCGGACAGGTTTCAGTAAGTGAAAGAAATATGAGGTCCAGTTGCTGGCACGAATCCCGTGTTCTTTATGCAGYAGGGCGAACACGCAGACAATCACTACTCCAGGAATTCTGCTCCTGACAAATGTCCTGTGCAATGCAATGGATTTCATGTAAGGCAGAACTCTGTTAAGATGGGGGCAAAGCATACAGGAATGTTACAAGTGCGCAACAGATGGTCCACCTGTGGGTAACACTASGGTACAACTCAAAAGAYACTAGAAAGTTCCATTAAGTCTTTGATAAGGGACAGCAATTCCTCTCTTTCACATTAATTTCTACCAGTTGTGTTGATGAAAAATTAGCCTTTTCTCTGTTTAAAAAACTAACCAAAGTAATAGTGTCTTATTGAGGCAATTRTTCCTTTACAGAGACTCCTATCTATGAAAGGTGAAACTTCTAATCTGTATTATTTCAAATTGAGGTGTTTTGTGGTGGTGTTTTGCGGTGGTGTTTTGCTGGGTTTTGTGGAGCTTCTTTTAATGAGATGTGGGCTGTTGGCAATGTAAGAGAGTTCTCTGGGAAATAGGATAGAACATTTTAATTCACAATGACCTCAAAAATACACTATGGGAAAGGACTTTGTAGGTGGTTTTTTTCATTTGGGGGACAGGGATTGTTATTTAGAATCCATTCAAGTTCTTCACTGATCACTTTGGAGTAATGAAGAAATAGTAGTCAAATATCCTTTCCCATGGAAATCTTTTCTATGGCAATCTTCAAGATGAGCCTGACAAACATGAAACGCAAAGATTATATTGCTATTATTCAAAGGACATCAAAAATTGAAAAAAAAAAATAGCAGTGGATGAGCTGGAAGACAAAAAGATTTTAAGCATCACCTGGAGGMAAGGCTGTGTTGATGTATATGGATCCTATTGTACTACTTTTTAATGAGACTGAGAGGGTATGTTGCTTAAATGGTAATACAACCATAAAATAAATATACAACAAAGCTTTAGGACACATGGTTTCCTCTGTTGAAGAGATCAACTGAAGCTAGCTAAACTAGTAAGAAACCTGTTATTTAGCTCACAAACTAAAGACAATTATCTCAATTTTAACAGGTTGATGTCAATAAAAAACTAGAGATTCATTCAGCAGGCTATCCCCAGAAATTATCTTTTTTTAGCATAAACAATGAAGTAAACACAACACAGTTTAAACAATGGACATTCACTCTTTAGTGAGCATCCAACTTCCTAAAGAAAGTTTAGCAATGCTCTAGCAATAGAAACATTTTATTTTTGGATCAGAAGACATAGTATTAGCTGCAAAAGAAAACATGATTAGATACAGAGATGAGAAGTGACATATATACGAAGATAATCCACCTAGTTTGAACTGTCAGTCCCTAAAGTTTAGCAAAAATAAATTTGAAACCCAGAGCATGTAATCGTACTAAAATGATTGGATTCATTCAGTAATGAGTGAAAGAAAGCATTTCCACTTGAAGAAAACAATGAATCTTGAAGTTAATGATTCTGGTTCACAAAAATGAAGTTGCATRCCAATTTTATAAGCATGGGCTGTATGCCATACTATTGTCTTAAGAATAATATAGACAAAGTAAAAATCAAACAACATTTTCATTGATACCTTTAATTAAGGATGCAAAGACTTAYTGTTTGTATTACAAGCACTGTTTCATGTAACTGTTGATTTATAAGGTTAACTTATACAAGAAAAGGGATTTCTCTACGACAGATAAAATTCTGCCCTGAGATCCASTGATGGGTGATTCGGTGAGTGTGAGAAGGAAAACACCAAACTTCCTAGGGGTGAACCCAGGTCTGGGAAAGGACTTCGTCCTGCACCACTGTCTCAGTGATGAGTGAAAGTTGCTGGGACTCYTCTAGAGCCATCACCACAAAAAACAGACTATACATGCAGAAGTTTGGAGTTTTTTTTAACTACTGGAAAAACTCTAGGATTTAGGCTAATAAAATTCTAGGACCAAATGTTTATTGTTCTTGCAGTAAGAAATTAATTAAAATTGATCCAATGCAGAATTATTTGTTGATGGTTTAGATTACAAAGGAGTTTGGCCCTATAAAACTCAWTTTAAATCTAGAACAAATGACAATTCTGACATGAGTAGATGTATGAAAGGCAAGAATGGGGTTCTCCTACCTTTATCTGAAGTTTAAAGAAATTGGCTTCATTTGGCCTTTCTACTCACATTAAGAGCAGAGTTGCTTCATCCACAAGAGTTTCAAGTATTCATTGTACAATAACTAACTTCTGCCCCTTCAATAATTAAGCACTACCATGAAAAGACCAATACAATCAAGAATATGAGTCGCTCCCCAGATTACAGATGGCYGTATTAGAGTAATTATGACTCCGTGTGACTACACTTTCTGTACCCAAATAACTTAAAGAACACTTCAACATGTTTTTCTGAATTTAGGGAAACCCCAAAATAATTACCAACTGACATATCCAGCAAACACAGAAAATTACACAATTTTCACAGATGCAGATTTTGTCTTCATTAACCTTCCAATGAGAATCTATATTTTCTGGAATCTTACTTTCCCTTCCTGAAAATGAACTGGAGAAGAAGTACACAGTAATTTTATCCCTAAGAGAAATTGTCTCATGGAAAGGTAGGGCACCACTTCATGCTGGTAAGGGCTGTGAAGTATTTTTATCTCCTTCAAATAGCTATCTGAATAAAGCCAAGTTATTCTTCACACAGACAAATTCCCTTCTATTCCATATATAAACTCCCAGCTTGGCACAAAATTACCAGAAATCCTTGATCAAATGTCTCCTCTGAAACAAATTACTGGCCGCAGGATGTTCAAAAGCTATGTATTTCCTACGTATACCTTAAAAGAGTGGGCTTTGGTGATTTTGTGCAGATTTTATTAAGCATTTAAAGTCTGTCTAGTTGCTACACACTGACGATAGTTTCAAATACTATGGATCCTCAAATGTACTTCTCATTCAAGGACAAGATCCTTCTTTACTCAGACACGCTAATGTAGACAAAGTTATAGTTCAATAGAGACATACACAGAAGTAACTTACAGAAAAATGTGAACTTGATAGTCTCCTTTATTTTTTACAAGGGTCAGCTATTAGACCATTTAAGTGGTTCAGGAAATTATCTACAGACTAAAAATCCAGCCCTAAAAACTGTCTTATTATCACTGTTTTCAGCGCAATCTTATCCTATATGCCGCTTGCTCTGTACACAAAGAGCTTGAGAACCATCAGTGTTGTCTCACTGCCTGAATTAAAAAATATACATTTTTAGAGGAATATCACAGAACTCAACGAAAAAAATGTTGAAATGGAAGAATTCAGGTTCTTTAGGAAGGAGAGGCAAGGGAGACCAYGAGGAGATGTCACCCTCTGTAGCAATAGCCAACTGAGTGCATGGAGCACTGTCTGGGGATGGATGAGGAGCTGACTGA